CTGAGTATAGGTATAGAAACTGATGGATAGCTGAAATTCCGATGTCATACCGCACTGTTAAACTGGTCGGAATGAAATGAAGATGCCAGATTACAACGCGATAATGTGATCTAACATCAGCGTATATAATCATCAGCACCGTGAAAACAAAATTTTATGTGTGCGCTAAAGTATGAATATCATAAGGGTCAACTGTTTCGTTTCTTTTGTTTGAAAGCTTGATGGCCTTTGTGATAATCATCACTGCTTTTTTCGCATAGACGTTACGATTGTATTTTGGACATAACAGTTGTTTCAGTGAAAATTACATGTACCTAGTGATAAGCAAAATTGGTCTAGGTGTTTCCAGTCTTTCATTTGCATTTGCACATGAATTGGACCAAATTTCAATCTCTAAAAGCTTAAAAAACTGTATTGTATTGTGTTATTGGTACAATTTAAAGAACTGCTACTTTTGAATCAAAAGTTTTATTTGTTTCAATCTCTGAAAGTATGAGAAAATACTACTTGCTTAGGTACTCTTTTATTGTTTACGATGAGCTGTGGCATCTCAATACTGATTCGAATTTGTTATCTATTGTGCATCGTGCTTGTGACAAGTTGAACCAACCGCCTTTCACAATGTCGTCAGTTAATTCACGAAAACGTCTACAAAAAATTACGTCTCTGTCATGGAGCCCAACAAAAACTGTCTTAGACTGTACTGAACAATTTCTTTCTTTGACTGCGTCATGCTCTATTAAAAAAATAAAAGTTTAAATAGAAAGGAGTTACTGGCGAACTCCTTATGCATTGATGCGATTTTACATGTTTATACATAAAAAAGTTTATTTTACGTAATGTTATAGTCAAGGTACTTACAAATGGGATATTCAAAAGCATCCACTTTTCTAGTTTGTCTGTCTGTCTGTCTGTCTATAATGATAAGCTATTTAAGCACCTACTATGTGTACCTACATATTTTATAAACTGGTGATGTCGAATTCTCTCCCGCAGGTAGTTTTGGTTAAAATATAGATAGTCGAATTCCCTCCCGGGTACTAGCCGAGTTCCCTCCCGTTCATATAAGCTCCGTTACGTGGTCCTTAATCAAAACGTC